GGAGGGGGAGGGCGGGAAGGGCTACTCACTGATGGCCCCGGTGTATGTCGGCTGCGTAAGGTCCTTGGGCACCTTCCTGTAGATGTCAAACCTGCGGAGAGCAAAGGGGATGGGGTGAGATGGGCACAGAGGGCTGGTCTCGGGCAGCAGGGGCCGTGGTGTGGCTGGCGTGCCCCATGGCTCAGCTAACCTCGGCTCTCCCAGGACCAGTTCCGCCAAGAGCCTGCGGGACACCCCGTCTGATGGGCCCCGGGCCCCCACACTGCCCTTATGCTTGTCTCGCTTCCTCAGGACACATGTTGGCACCTGAGAGGACCTTGACCCACATTTGGTTATGTTTCTTTTTTTAAAAAAAATATTTTTATTGATTTCAGAGAGGAAGGGAGAGGAAGAGAGATAGAAACATCAATGATGAGAGAGAATCATTGATTGGCTGCCTCCTGCAAGATCCCAGACTGGGGTGGGGGGGCGGTAAGCCTGCAACCCGGGCATGTGCCCTGACCAGGAATCAAACAATGACCTTCCACTTGACAGGAGATCCCAGACTGGGGGTTGAGCCTGCAACCCGGGCATGTGCCCTGACCAGGAATCAAACCATGACCTTCCAGTTGACAGGTGTCAACGCTCAACCACTGAGCCACACCGGCCAGGCTGGTTATGTTTCTCAGTTGGTCTTTCCCATCAGAATGTCGCCCTCATGAGGGCAGGGACCTGGTGAGGTCTTGTCACCCCTATCCCATCCCCAGACCCTAGCTTGGGCCTGGCACATAGTAGGCACTCAACAGGAATGAACTGAACCCCAAAGGGCTTCTCTGACGTTAAAGGGAACAGGACGCTATGGCATCACCTCTCCACCTCACCCTCTGGTTTCCACTCCCTGCTTCCATGGTCCCTGTACCCTCTTCTTTGATTCTTAGATTCTTCTTTGTTGTTGTGTTGTTGTTGTTGTCGTTAATCCTCACCCGAGGATATTTTTCCATAGATTTTTAGAGAGCATGGAAGGGAGTGGGCGAGACAGAGAGAGACACATCGATTGGTTGCCTCCCACATGCGCCCCAACCAGGGCCAGGGATCAAGCCTGCAACCAAGGTACATGCACTTGATCGGAATGGAACCCAGGACCCTTCAGTCTGAGGGCCAATGAGCCATACTGACTACGACCTCAGAGATTCTTCTTCAGTCCAACATAAACCCTGCCCGGGACCCGGTCTCAGCCTCAGTTCGGCTTTGGCTGTTTCCTGTGGGTTTCGGCCCCAGGCACAGAGCGGACGCCTTTCTTTCTCAGGGATCCCATCAGCATAGACAGGGTTGTGGGCGGAACAATATGGGGTTTGCAACCAAGGTACATGCACTTGATCGGAATGGAACCCGGGACCCTTCAGTCTGAGGGCCAACGAGCTATACTGACTAGGACCTCAGAGATTCTTCTTCAGTCCAATATAAACCCTGCCCGGGACCCGGTCTCAGCCTCAGCTCGGCTTTGGCTGTTTCCTGTGGGTTTCGGCCCAGGCACAGAACGGATGCTTCTTTCTTTCTCAGGGATCCCATCAGCGTAGACAGGGGTTGTGGGCAGAAGGATATAGGGTCTGGGCCTCAGACAGGCTTCTTGGGTTTAAATCTGGCCAGCTGTTCAAGACATAAGGCCCCGAGTCAGCTGCCCTGGGTTCAAATCATGGCTGGTCTTCTTCCTCGCTGTGTGACTTTAGGAAAATAAGTTCCCCTCTCTGAGCCTCAGTTTCCTCATCTATAAAAATGGGGCTCCTACGACCAGACCCGCCAGGCGATCGAGAGGAGTGAGGGACATAAGTATCTGGCAGACTTGACACGGAGCATTCACAGGAGGCTCCTCACGCACCTGGCTTCCTCCTCGCACCAGACCCTGGGCAGACGGCTCTCGAATACCGCGTTCTACCGATGGAGCTCTAAGCCCACACGCGACGTTCCCAGGCTCTCTGGTTAGAGCCCAGCTTGGTCAAGAGCCGCTGCTCTGGCCCTGCTGGGTGACAGGCTGGCGTGGGTGCCCCGTCAGGGACCGGGAGAGTTGGCGCCCTGCTAACCCAACGCAATGACTTACAAGTCTTGCGTAAGATCTGATAGCTGCCTCCTGTGTGCTCACTCTAACAGCACGTGGACCTAGTGTCCTAAGACCTCAGGGGAGGAACAGTTCCTGTCGGCCGCCAAATTAAAAGGCACCACTTTCTTTCCTACCTGCTCAGCCGGGTGCCAGGGCCCCTAAGGGCGCCAGAAACTGGGGCTGGGAGTGTGTGTGAGGGGTGGGGACCGTGTGACTCAACCACCCATGCCTACTCCCCTCCCTTATGCTGACAATGCTCTCCCCTTTCCCGTGAGAGGCACGTGAGAGGTAAGAGCAGGTACTGCAGGGTCTACCTGTTGGGGCTCCCATGTGACTCCGCCACTGTGTGACCTGGGCCACGTCACTGACTTAACCTCCCTGTGCCTCAGTCCCGCCATCTGTAAAATGGGGCCACAGTCCTAACCATCTCACAGACTGGGGTTGGGACCAGAGGGATGGGAGCACCTAAAGCACTTAGAACCGGCCGGGGGCCCAGGAAGTGCTATTTGAGTACTGCTGTTACTATTATTGATGCTCATTTGAGTGACATTTATGAGCACCTACTATGTGCTGGGCCCTCTTTCAGGCGCTAGGACATGGAGATAAAATGGGCCCCATGTGCCTGTGGTTTTGCAGCAGAGACAAAGGAAATGCAAGGAGAAGGCGGTGGTGCTTCAGCGTGGGGTCAGCGTGGGGTCACCCGGGGAATCTGGAAGCTTCCTACAGGAGGTGATGTCTGAGCAGAGCAGGAGGACGGGAGGAAGGTGGGTGCAGAAAAGAGGAGCCCAGATAGTGAGAACAGCTACAGCAGAGGCCAGGCGAAGGGTGAATCCCAGTGTGCTGGAGGCTTCCTTCATTTGCACGTGGTACCAGGCAGGGAAGGAGGGAGTGTCCGTGGGAGGTGGGAGGCCCTTACAGTCCAGCTTCCTGGCCCAGTGAATACCAGTCACCATCCAGGGTCCACAGGCCGAATCTGGGCCTCACAGTTTAAAAACAAATGAACCACCCGGCCAGTGTGCCTCAGTGGTTGGGTGTCGATCTATGAACCAGTCAAGGGCACATGCCTGGGTTGCGGGCTCATCCCCAGTAGGGGGCATGCAGGAGGCAGCCAATCAATGATTCTCTCATCATTGATGTTTCTCTCTCTCTCTCTCCCTCTTCCTTCCTCTCTGAAATCAATGAAGATAAACGAATGAATGAATGAATGAATATAAAAAACATATGAACCATCATCTCAAAACTGGGAGTTTCATAGAAGCGGAGGCTGCTCAGGGTGACAAGGTGGGGGTGGCCCAGGGCAGAGCATCAGAACCAGGTGAGGGTGAGGAGGGAGGGATGGAGGGTGTTACACACAGGGGACTGATTAAGTAAGTGAACACTGTGCGATGACGGGGGCCGGGGCCTCACCGTCGGGAGGTACGCACAGAGAGAAAGGCAGGAAAACCCTGTGGCGTGTGCGTGGAGACGGAGGGGTTGCTGTGAATTCGTGATTTTCAACAGACACAATACAGACATCGCCATGTGGATGTATACATGTCACATGTACCTGTATGTCCCAGCTCGTTCCATAGAGAGGGCCCAGGAACTGACGGCCAGAGAGCAATGGATGCCTCTGGCACTGAAATACTGGCTTGTAATGTCATCCCTTACTCAAAGAGACCAGCTTCTTGGAGAAATGGCTCATTCTAGGGCTGGGCAGGGGAAACACACGATGAACTTGGAGCATCACCTTATGTCAGAAAGCAAGAAAGTGGCCAAGGAATGATGGGGACATAACAGGACAAGAAGCCAGCTTAGAGGGGCTCCCACTGGCCAGAGAGAGGACAGCGAGAACACCAAAGCCCATGGCCGCAGTAAGAGACCATAACCCACTGGGTAAGACAGGAAGCCCAGACTCTATAGATACAAAGACATGAATCCACCAGAAGTTTGAGGAGGAATGGGACATTTACGCACCTTCCAAATACCTCCCCACAAATCCTTGCTAACTACAAAAGGAGAAAGTGTTCATGCAACCTGACTGTGGGGAAACTTGGCCGACATCATAGTAACCAAGTGACTGGGTGTCAGCAGTAGGAGACACGTCATGGTCCCCCGCACCATCACGCCTGTGGAGATCTTGCTCCAAAGGCACCACCTCGAATGAATCATGAGAAAACACAAACAAATCCAAACGGAGGGGCAGCTGACAAAACGATGGGTCAGCACTTGTCAAAATAGCAAGGTCAGGAAGGCACGTTAAGACTAAGGAACTATCAGAGATCGGAGGAGGGGACAGAGACGTGACAATCACGCGGGATGATGTCCCGAGTCGGAAAAAGGGCATCAGTGGGGCAACGGATGGGATTTGAATTAGAAACTGTAGGCATCTGACCTTGAAGAGCTGGCTTCACACATGTTTGCCGGGTGTACCTGGTGTTTGGTAGGGTATGTCTTTGTTGGAAGTGGAAAGGGGGAGGAAGGCTGGGTGAACAAAGGTCTAAGAGAGGAGGTTAGACCTAGACCAGTGGTTCTCAACCTTCCTAATGCCGCGACCCTTTAATACAGTTCCTCCTGTTGTGGTGACCCCCAACCATAAAATTATTTTCGTTGCTACTTCATAACTGTAATTCTGCACATCTAGTGCACGCCCGGCTCACGCTAGGCCCTCGACCAGCTCCTTCTCATCCATGATCTCGGCCAACCTACGAGTTAGGGACTGTTAACCCGTTTTATAGGCGAGGCTCAGAGGGGCTGGTGACTTGACTATGAAGTGCCACAGGGGCCGCCTGCTCTCCACACCCTCCACTGCCCGGCCTAGAAGGCTCTGAGCTCATGGTGTCCAAACCCGTTCATCTTCCAGATGAGAAAGCGGGAGCCCCAAGAAGAGGGGGTGACTGCCCGGTTCAAGGTGTAATTCAGCTCAGAGTATTTAAAACGAAAGCCAGCCAGCAAAAAGCTAGGGGCACCCTTGGCCTCTTCACGCTCTTGCAGTCACATGCAGTGGTTCCCAGGCAGGCGCGATGTTGTCCCCTAGG